ACAGGTGTTTAACCTTTGTGAAGCTTGGATATCTCACACTGACAGGTCAGCACTAACTAAATTTGAACAACTTATCTTGACTCTTATGAGACTAAAACTTAATCTTTCACTCCAAGACTTGGCATACAGATTTGGAATATCCACTGCGACAGCATCTAGAGTTTTCAAGAAATTGATATCTATTTTGCACTTGAGACTTCAGTTTCTGATTGAATGGCCTGAGAGAGAAATACTTAGGGCTACAATGCCCATGGATTTCAGAAACACTTTTGGAAACCAAATAGCTGTAATAATAGATTGCTTCGAAGTATTTGTAGAGAGACCATCTAACTTATTAGCCCGTGCTCAAAGTTGGTCAAACTATAAGCACCACAATACTGTCAAATTTCTTATCGATATATATATATATATATCTATAAATATATATATATATATATATATATATATATATATATATATCTATATCTATATATTTATATATCTATATATATCTTATTATATATATATCTATATATATATATCTATATATATATATATATATATATATATATATATATATATATATATATATATATATATATCTATAAATATATTATATATATATATATATATATATATATATATATATATATATATCTATATCTATATATCTATATATTTATATATCTATATATATATATCTATATATATATATATATCTATATATATATATATATATATATATATATATATCTATATATATATATATATATCTATATATATCTATATATATATATTATATATATATATATTATATTATATATATATATATTAATATATATCTATATATATCTATATATATATCTATATATATATCTGTGCGAAAGGTTTGTTTATTAGAAGGAAAGTTGTTGGAACAAGAGATGGCGAAACAACCTTAACTCCAAAGAACTGTCTCACTTCTTAGGACACATTTACGATATTTAAGACGTTGAGTTATTGTTATAGAAAGACTCCCTTGTCGCCTTTCGGGGGGGAGTATGCACGATTGTATTACATTACATCAAGTAGCGCACTATGATCGCGAGCGCAAAAAGATGGCGATTTGGCGCCAACGAAATGTTTTTTTGTTTTTTGACTGTATTATTGTATAGTAACAAGTAAAATATGGAGAAAGTCACAAAACTTGTAGGTAACACGTATAAGGTGCCTTATTTAGTTAGTGCGGCATGTTGTAATATTGTTCATATTTGTTGTAGCGAATCTCATGAATATTCATGTGAATAAAGTTTGTGATGCGTTTGAAGAAATTGAAGTTTACATATATATTTAACTTCATATAGAGTCTATATAAATGTTATTACACAATTGATTTGAATTAGATATGAGTGTCAGTTTTATCACTCACTTGAACATGCACATTCAGACCTGTTGCAAAATGCGATACCAATTATGCCAATTTAATATGTACAAGTTGTTGTTATTGTGTTAATTTTATTGGAGTTATCTTGAACACTTGTGAGATTTCAAGTTTTGTATGATATGGATAATACTATATAGACAAATAATTAAAACACCAATTGAAAATTATGCACGTTAAAATAAAATATTTTATTTTTTCATATAGACTTTTCTGGGCATGTTATACCACAATAAAAACGATTCCAATGGTATACAAGAAGTACTTACCAATTTACATAAATATATCCCGTCTTATACCAAAAACGTTTATCCATGTCAAGCTTTTGTTGCTGATCAGCTTTCTGTGGAACGAGGGGTTAACGCATTATTTGAAGTCTCTAATGTCTTTACAGCAGAACAGAGACTGGAAGGGATGAATATAGAAATTGCAGATTGGCATGCAGGAAATAAATTTTTGAAGGTCTGTTTTACTTGGATACATTGAGAAAAAATATATCTTATATAGTCATTAATTAAGCAAATTGTACTGAATTGCACAGCTATGTGTATCACATATTGTAACAAAGTTTGCAAACAAACTGTAAACAAGTTGCGTTCACACTGCTTGTGAACAAGTTGTCAAAACCGTAGATAAATGACCAAAGTTAAAATCCTAAATCAGCTGTTTTTAAATAATTTTTTTTAAAGGTAGTCTCAAAAACTTCTACAGTGGATCTTCTTCTGCTGACAAATGCACTATGTTCAGCAATAGAAATCTGATAAACTGCAGAAATGTAAAGTCTGATGTTGATGGTGCTGTAAATCCTTGCAGGAAGTTCTTTGAGCTAGAAGTAAATGCAAAGCTGATGGCAGCTGCAATGGAAATCCTTGGTATGAAGTCTACATCTGATATTCCAGATAGTACATTTGTTCCTGTGAACATTGATAAATGTGAACCAGATGAAAAAAGAGCCTGCCTCAGGAAAATTGCCAAAGCTGTTGTTGACAAGTATGTAATACAAAAAGAGAAAGCTCAAGCATTGCTTCAAGATGTACTAGCTAATGAAGAAAACCAAGCAACATTGCAGACCAACAAAACTGATGATGGCAGAGTCATGTGCAGATTTCCTGGATGTGGAAAAACATTTGCTCACAATGGTAAGAGAAAAAGAGATCATGAATCTACTCATGATCTTTCAGTTAGAAACAGTAATGAAGAAAATAATCCATGTGAAGCTCCTGCAGTTGCAAATTTTGATGAGGATGACGAAAGTGATGATATATACAATTACCAATGTTCTTTCCTTGAATATGGTATGATAATAATTAATTTCTTTGATGCTATAAAACAAGAAGATGGAAAATGAGTTATTAGGTGCTGGAAATTTCAACTACCTTACCTAAGAAATGACTCTTGTAGTCCAAAGTATGCTCTTGAAGGATTGAATATATTCTTACAGATTCATGGATTATTATCAGCAAAAGATGCACATAGCCTGATATGGAATAGATTCCATTGCAGCAAAACTGGTCGAGGACACAATATTCCTCTTGATTTAAGTCTAGAATTTGTAAATCGCTTGCTGAAAGAAGTTGTCAGAAAGCTAGGCCCTAATGCAACAAATACCAATGCTGTTGATCGTTATTGCAAAGCAGTGGATGTTACTAAACCTGTTCTACACAACTTTGATAGACAGTGCTCTATTATAGACAGATCAGGAAAACATTCATATACATCTGTTATAGCAGATTTGAGCATTCACACGAACTCCAGGTCGTAAGTATTATCATTACAGTAATTGCAAATCGAGTATTCTGCACAATTTCAACCTTCAAGACATGTTCAATTGGATTGATAAACACAACAAAAAACATTGTAAAGGGTAAGAAAGCTCGCTGAACATCAATCCCATAGTTTAAAATAGATCACGTTTGGTTGTATGGTACCCACATACAAAATACCTAGATATTACATGGAATATATGTTTGATATTACTTTTTTCAATAATTAGTTAGAAAGTAAACTTATTTACAGGGTGTATCAAAAATAAGGAGACCTTTAGAAATCAAGCTATTGTAAAAATTTGAATGCCTTTTCAATTGCATTTGCACATATGCTGAACCGTAGTGCGTTAAATATTGATGGCATGCATGCATACATTAGAAAATGAATTGACGTTTGTACACAAGATTGTCTGCTCCTGGGAATTTGAAAATAACTTTAATAGCATAAGGAAAAATAGCGACCCAAAAATATTCAAATGACTAAGCACACTACCAGAACAAAAATGGTTCAACTGACTTCGGAGCAAAGAGTTTTTGTAGTCTTAACTTATACCCAGCCTGCCGTCATCAGAAAAGCAGTTCGTGATATGCACAAGCGTACGGTAGTTTGTGTTGAGAGAAATGGAGGCCACGTTGGAGGTCATGGTCCATGACATTAAGTTCTTTTGATGTTCAATTTATCAGTAATTTTCAATCCGGATCAAAATGTCAAGTGAATCTGTGTCAGATCAAGTTGTAATTCATTGCTGACTCATGTAAACATTTTATTAGGCAGAGTTTGTAAAATGGGATGCTGAGCCATTCCGGATTCAAAGTCAATTCTAACTCATGTGAACAGCCCTAATGCTCGCAGGCAGTGTTAAAAATTAATGAACAAATGATTTGTTCATGTTTTGAAGGAACAGCTGAAGCTTAGTCGTTTGTGCTTAGTCATTTGAATATTTTCGGGTCGTTATTTTTCCTTATGCTATTAAAGTTATTTTCAAATTCCCAGGAGCAGACAATCTTGTGTACAAACGTCAATTCATTTTCTAAAGGTCTCCTTTTTCTAATGTATGCATGCATGCCATCAATATTTCACGCACTACGGTTCAGCATATGTGCAAATGCAATTGAAAAAGCATTCAAATTTTAACAATGGCTTGATTTCTAAAGGTCTCCTTTTTTTTGATACACCCTGTATATTGATATGATATGCTTTAATAGCGAATTGTAAATGTACTATTTATGTCAGAGGCTTAAATTGACTAAAATTATATTAACAAACTGTTAGGGGTAAATATCGGTATGAGGTTTCTAACAACCATGTTCACATTGCCGTAAACACTTCCGAAATTGTAGTTTATATAGTTTAAATAAATGAAAGTACCACACATAATAGACAAAATGTACAATTATTACGTACCCATATCAAGTTGTATCCGTATTTTCAGAAAAAAGATCTTCAATCATACTAGTAGCAGTTTTTTCCTCAATGCCAGATGGCAGAGTTTCATCTAACATAAAATCGATGCTCATCAGCTCACTTTCTAAGAAAAAATTAAGTTCTGAATCATTTCTCAGTTCCTCCCACTCTGATTGAATGCCACCCAACTCACAATGATCATCATGGACTGATTCTGCTGCCAGTATTTCATTGATGTTAATGTCATCAAATACACGATGCATGGCCTATAGAATCGCTTGGCTATGTTCCTTTCTCCATACTTCAACAAAATGTTCGACATGTTCAAGCATTTTTATGTTGTCACAATTATTTATAACTTTATCAATTTGAAAGTATGAAAATTCAGCGATACTTTGCAACATTATAACACCTTCAAAACATTTTTTAATCCATTCTTTAAGGTAATCTTTGAGTTTATGTTTATCTTTGAGTTTAAGGTAATCTTTGAATCTATGAGTTTGTTTCTCTGCTCATCATTTACAGGCCTCACAACACTATACAATGGTTGTGTTACAGTTTCATTTAGTGAACTGCTAGATGTCTCAATTAACATTTCATTTTTATTGCATTCCTCTTTCCCACAAGTGCAATTTCTCTTGCATACATCACAACAATTATGTCCATTTAAATTTTCATGAACAATAAAACCTCCAGGAAAATGATTAAAAATTTGCTTTCTTCTGCATTGTGTATCTGTTTCAATATATTCTTTGATGTCAGACTTGCTTCTAGCTGACAATAATCCATTATAAAGCAAAAGGCATTTACTTTGCTGCCCTTCCAGCCCTGCCACATTCCTGTACGTAACTCTCAATGTTTTTGGAAGGTCCGAAATGTATCACATGACAAACTCCTTTCATGTCCACTCAGGGGCGAAACTACCACCTTTTTGCTGGGGGGGTGTTGGGTAAATTTGCCCTGCCAAATTTTATCATGCCCTGCAGCATTGTAGGTATAGTCCATTGAGAGATGTAACATATCAGCTAAGATTTTGTTTGAAAGGCGTGGGTTAACACGATCCCTAGTAATACGTTTTAGCTTTATAACGCTAATACTGTCTCGTATGTAACTGAATATTAACAGTATTTATTTTGTTGGCTTTATTCGAAATTTGCGCATCTTAACTTTGGCCCAAGTGTCCAGTACAACGTTCAAATCAATACTGTCTGTGAGATCCTTTTCACAAGCCAGTAGGATCAAGTCATTTAAACGCTTGTCTTTCATAGTTGACCTAAGACAGTTCTTGACAATCTTCAGTTTGCTGAAAGTTCGCTCATCCTTGGCGACAGACACTGGAGCAGTAAGCAACAGCTGATAAGCTTTGCATACGGTTGGGAAGATCCTGATATACTCGTGAGCATATTTGGCTGCTTCTTGTATGGAGCTAGGTTGTTTTCTCGAGATAGTGGTACTGAATATTTCTAGCTCAGACATAAGCACATGAGGTTCAATTTGACAAGCAGGAGGAAAAAGACAGCACATTGCTTTAACTGTTTCATCTTTTGGTTTCTGTACAGGAGGTTGCAGGCAATCAGCTAGGGGTTTAATCTGGTCAAGGCAGACTGATGTTGTCCATATACTCAGTAATTAAGGAATCGAGCACCCCACACATTTCTTTCCTGTAAAACTCTTTGAATAGTAATTGCGCATAAGCTTCTGGGTGGTCATCAATTCTTCTTGGCGGTCTCCTTGGTCTATGATGAAGTTGGTATTGTGCAATTGAATCTATGCCCATTTTGTTTCCGAACTCAACAATCGCGTCTAGCTCTGCATCAATTGCACGATCTTCACTACGCATTTTTTTCATGTTTTCCACCGTAGAATCGATTAACAACAGTGCGTCCAAAATATTGAGCTCTTCTTCCTGCAACTGCTTTGTGATAACTTTTGTTTTCTTCATAATAAGTCTCATAAACATGAGAGCAAAGAGAAAGTCAAAACTAAGCAATTTCGTCTTGATCCCGTTACCCTTTGCTTTAACTTTCGGTTCGACACCATCAGCAGTGACAACTTCATCAATTGCTTTTGGGATTTGCTCGTAACTTCTCCAAACAGCGTTGATTGATTCAGAACAGTAAACCCATATGGTCTTTGACAAGTTTCGGAACTTTAAAACGTTTTCAATTTCTTTCGTAGAATTCTCAATAACTTTATTTCTCTTTGTGCTTTGGCTAAAAAATACAGTGGGGATCAAAAGTCTGAGTCCAGTCGATAACTTTTCTTATATTACGGTAGTTTACAATAAATGATATCTTGTGAGTTGGAGATTGGATATGTTGAGCTTGTGTATCGTATTTTATAATAGTAATGCCTCTCATAGATTTCTCGTTAATTCTCACGGTATTTAAGTTGAAAGAAATGCGTATTATTCTTTTTGTGGACCAAAGATGGCAAAGAGAGGGACAACAATGATGGGATGTCTCAAAAAATTGAGAGAAATTGAGATGAGGTTATATGTGTCGAACTAAAAGTTGGAAATTTTTTGTGACTCGTTCGTATTCAATTAAATGAAAATCTGCGAGACAATGCAAGGGCTATTCCTGGCTCCTGCAAAGGAAAATGGAAAGAAAGGAGAAGGAAAACCAGTGGGCCGTCTTTTAATCAATGGTGGAATAGGGCTGAACCAGTAGGGTATAACACAATTATTTTGTATCGCCTCTTTTACGTTTGAAAACAGCTTTGACTTTTGTTGGATAGAGTGAACCAGTTTTGTTAGCATTACTGGTTCAATTCTATTCCACCATTGATTAAGGGCAGTACGCTGGTTTTCCTTCTGCTTTCTTTCCATTTTCCTTTATAGGAGTAGCCCTTGGTCCATGGTCTAGCAGATTTTCGTTCGACACATATAACCTCATCTCAATTTCTCTCAATTCTTTCACAAATCCCATCATCACCAAAATCTGACCGTGTCATATAGCCTCGAGCCACGTTCGATATCATTGTCGGCCCCCTCTATGCCATGTTTGGCCCACAAAAAGAATAATACGCACGCTTAATGTATCAGACCAACCACTTTGCCTGGTTGGTCTTTCGCTTGCCTTTTCGAACCATTCTAAAAATATTAATAAGTCTATTTGTACCTTGTCAACTGATAGCTCAACTATGAAATACTAAATTAGTATGTACCCACTACCCACATATCATTTCTTCATTGAAATAAAATCTACAGTCATTTTTTTATTAATATGAATTGTTTGAGCAATGATGCACATGTAGGGTTGAAAGATGGCATTATAAGTATTATTATTATATTATTGCATTAAATACCACTTTGAGACACTAAAATACATGCTGCAATATCCCTAGGTTATTTATACCACACAAAATTACGACAAATAATGATAATACCCAAAAAGCAATGCCCAAATGAGACAGTTTACAGTGTGTCTCATTTAGCCCCACAACACTTGGGGCAATTCAAAGGCTCAAAATAATAAAAATTGAGACCAACATGAGCAAAATACCCTTTTAATATGAAAGGCCATATGTTTTTGTAGTATAAATGTAGTATAATTCTTAACTGCGGTATCTTAAACAGAATAAAAAACTATCTAAATATGTTTAAGTAATAACATACCTCAACTTCGAGACGTCAACTTCGGCGCGATCGAGAAGAATTGATTTTATTTTCGCTGTAAAATAGCTATGAACCTCAAACCACGTTGAATAACTTCGAAAAATGCTTGTTGACGAGCCTGCGATGTTTCTAATTAAAAATCTGCGATAATACACCAGAAATTAACATTTTTGCCCTAATGTCTCATTTAGCCCCACTGTCTCGTTTTGCCCCGCATTACGCTAAATACCATGAGAATTAACGAGATATCTATGGGAGGCATTATACTATCATAAAATACGCAAGTTCAGATCAACAAATCCAATCTCCATCTCACAAGATATCATTTGTTGTAAATTATCGTAATATAAGAAAAATTATACTTTTGATCCCCACTGTACGTATATATCTTCCAATACGTTATACATCGATGTTACAATTGCGCTCTGTTTGCAGCAGTGTTCATTGAAAGTGTTAGATCGGTGCCCCTGGCATGGAATATAAGGCACTGGTCGTTGCAACATGTCTTGCAAGATTTTTTGTGCACCGTTCAATCTACCAGACATCGACGCTGTAAAGTCATACGTCTGAAAAGACAGCATATCTAAGTCGATTTCATTATCTTTCAAAGATCTAATTATGTCCTTTGCTGTCCCAGCACCACTCTTATCAACGGATTCTTTCATTTCAATTACTCTTTCGCTTCGGAGACCTGCAGAATCGACATACCTTCCAGCAACTACTAGCTTATCTTGATTCGAGGTATCTGGGGTTGTATCAGCTGACACGGAATAAATGCCAGCGGAATTAATTTCCTCTGTAATCTTTTTTTTCACATCCTGGGCTAACAAATGCACCATCTCATTTTGGGATTCCGAACTCATATATGTTGTACTGTACGGTTTCAAGCGTTGGTCTTCAAGCCATGATTCGAGGACAGGACAATGCCGGGAAAGAAGGTTGACAATTTGTACATAATTACCATCATCGTCATTGCCAGAGCCTCTGAAAGCAAGAGATTGCCTTGCAAGAGTTTTAGCTACATCAAAGAGTATCGCCATGATTTCTTTGTTCTTTTCCTCGTCTGCTTTCTCTTGGATAAGGATTTGCTTCACTTGTGCACTCATTGCAACATCAATATGGCACGCTTCCATTGAAAATTGGACAAAATCGGCTAGGGCAGCTTGATGGGACTTGCAAGAAAAGTGCTGAAGAAGCTTCCCCTGTTTATTGGTACCCACACTTTTCATTTTGTGCCATGACCTAATGCCATCTATCCAGGCAAGATCACTATTTTCTCGACCAGGTCCAGAGGGAAACAACGAACATACGAAACAGTAGGCTTTATCTTCCTTTCTGCTGTATTTCAGGTGTGGAAAGGATTTGTACCAAGATGCACTGGACTTGTTTTGCTTGTTTTTCTGTATTGATTCATTCTCAGGAAAAATTTTTAACTTAGGTTGACAGGGACCAAGCTGTATCAGAAAATTTCGTTGATCGTCGTTCATATTCCGCGGCCTTTCACTTGGATCATGGGCAGCTAACTGATCACTTGTTTTAATCACAGGACAGCCTAAGTTAACCTCGTGATTTCTAATTTTGTCAATGACAATCGAACAATTCTTTGTTAGCTGCTGAGATAGAGTGCTTATCTTTAATGTCATATCTCTGACTTTCATAACAAAACCTTCAGCTTTTGTTTCTTTTTCTGACACAATCTCACCCAGGATATCTTGACATTGATTAAGATATTGAGAAAGGACCTTCAACTGCCCTGCACATGTTAGCCATGTTATACTGTCTTCGTTGTCTCTAACGTTGTCTCCAGACGGTTCACTATGTGTTTCCTGCAAAGTATCAAAACTGATGAATACATTCATAGAAAGATCATCCAGTACACCTAAAATTAGTACACACAAAAATAAATACTTTACCTTTTCACTAAAATTACAAAGAGAATCATCTTCAGAATCATCTTCTGATGAAATGACAGATTCTACAGTCTGTTGATGATTTATTTTGGGGAGTTCTGGATTGAAAGAATTTACCAACAGGTTTTCTTCCGAAAGTTCCAAGGATGTTTTTCGTTCAACTGCTCCATAACTAGTATCTGGTTCAGAAATCGTTAATGGCTGAACTGCTTCGCTTGTGTTACTCAATTCACTTGTTTCAATTACCTTCGGGGTTTTCTATTAAGAATAATCATTTTAAAGTAAGCTATTGTGACCGGTACGCCCATGTATGTGACAACAAACTACGATTAATTGCTATTAAATTATGTAACATGTGAATGAATGAAACTTTTATTTGAATAGGGTAATCCAATCAGTTTACATTAAACATATAGGAGCTCTATAGTATCATAAATTTAAGAGCTACACTCGCTTCGAAAGTATGTTCCAAATAGGTACAAATTATTAAGAACTAAAATAACAAAAAGTCACACTTAAACTTACCCCGGTCTCGAGGACTGAAAATATTAACTTCTTCTGCGAGGGATCACGTAAGTGAATGATCCTTGCACTTCCTTTGTGAGCTGATTTATTATGTTTCGGAAAGTTGTCGTTGTAAATTTCCTTGTTACACGAAGAGCATTTAACTTTTTGTCGGTATGGCCTCTTTCTAGCGTTTATTATGTTTTTCCTTTGTTTCAGTTGTTTGTCTACAATGAGAAATGCAATATCATTGATCAAATTTCACAAAGTTAATTTGCATATATACTAAATTTGCATATATGAATATGTATCCTTCGTAATTCCGATTCGTGAAGTCTTGTTTGGTAGATTTATTATATATATGCATATACTAATATTCTTAACATAATTTATCGACAAGAAACACTGTACAGTCGATAAAAATACATAATATAGTTTCAGTAATACGAATATTACTCACCGTCCATACTTCTTTCCATTCAAAGCATATTCAAAGGATTTCAATATTATGAAATATTATGAATAATTATCATAATAATTACTTACATATGTCACTAGCCTGTGAATAGGCTCCACTGTGTGTGCAACTAAGCTAATAATTTAAATAACGGGAAACGTATTTTTAGTTCATACTTTTTTCATTTTGGTGTATTACATAAATCGTAGAACAGTTTAACCAATGTGCGTGCAGCGTGCCTTTTGCCCTGCAAAAATGTCCCTTGCCCTGCCAATCGCCCCTGTGTCCACTCCCATTCCAAAAGCAATTGTACATACACTAATACCCTTAGTTGACCTTCTGTTACACATATATTTTCTTGAATGTGTTTTTTAACAGATGTTGGAGTCTCTGAATGGTACATATCCACAAGTCTCTCTCTTGGATTTAAATCTCTATTTAAATAGAAATCAACTCCAAGGCTTTCCCGAAATGTATTGTATATTAAAGCACACTGTCTTCGTGTTTGACAAAATATTACAGTCCTTGTTGCAGAAGCTCTATTAACTCTTACATCTTCAATTATACCACTAAACGTTGTTTCAAGAGGAGTCTTGTTTTCAACATACTAGACATCAAAACAAATATTTGTTTGATCTGGACTTCTCTCAATGATCACAACAGACTTCATGTTCAAATTCAAGGTCTGAAAGATGTCCAACTTTGTTGACTTACAAGCAGTTGCAGTAAGCACAACAGATGGAACACTATTGGCAATTAGAGACCTCAATTCTCCTAAATTTGAATACCAAACTCTAAATGGAAGACACAGGCATTTGCTAGAACCAGATGATCCCTACTGACTTATGCAATGAGCCTCGTCAACCACCACAGAAATAAGAGATTTGTGATAAACTTCGCATGATAACAGCTTTCTCCACCTATCAGAGTTTAGCATCTTTTCTGGAGAAGCAAACAAATACGTGTATTTTCCTTCCTCAACTTTTCTTAGTTCATCTTAGGTGTGTTGATCGTGTAAAGCTATCGCAGTTAACCCCACAGATTTTAGATATTGAACTTGGTCTTCCATTAAACTTTGCAAAGGAGATATTATTACAAGTTTTGAAGCTGTCTTTGCTATTTTAACATGATCACGCACAATTGGAAGAGCATAATAAATCATTGACTTCCCATATCATGTCGGTTTGCATCAAAAATCTTAACTGATGTTAACTGTCACAGTTTCAGAATCTTGAGTTGTAAAGTAAGCTTGACATAATCTGTTTATTTGCCATATTAATTTCCCTGTTGTTAACATCACAGAAATTTATCAAGCAATTTATCATGCTTATACAACACCAAGAGCATACAGCTTTGAAGATGAAGCAGCAGATGTATACGTGGCTTTTTCGGATGCTATAGTGGAAAAAATGAACAAACAATTGGATGATGCCATTATAT